AAGTCAACCACTTCAGATTTCAGAGATGCTTCAGAAGATCAGCTTCAGGTCTTGTAGATCTAAATCTTTTGATTGGAGATCAAGTCCATCATCTCATTCAAATCAATCTTGCATAAATCTAAATCATGGATAAGATTTCAGCAACTACAAAGGACTGATTACTGAGATATCGTCATTGTCCTCCTCAAGTTCTCGCCCACTGAGGCTTAAAAACAAGGAAGAGAAGAGAACATAAAATTTTCAGCATATTTGAAACAATGAAGAAGCAATTTTGACACACATTACATGTGCCAGTGCTATAATAAGATAGCAATAAAGAATAAGAATAAGAAACAACAGAAAAGAGAATCTGGAAAGAAAAGGAAAGAAGAGCAGAGACAAGCAACTATAATATCTCAAAGTTTAAAAATTATCAATACAAAAGACGAGATTCAAAAATTATTTATTGTTTAAAAAGTTTGAAGATTATCAGCACAACAAAGTTTGAAAATTCCATATATCCAGATAAGAGGAGCTTCGATTTGTTCGACAAATAACGGATGCAAATCAACCGTAAACTTTATTAACTTGCACCTCTGAAATGCATTAAGCCACTGTTAACATATCAAATCTCAAACAAAGGGACTGAAATATAATCAAAACAACATTTAAACAATTGAGATATTTAAGCACAACAAAAAGTAAAGTTGCGATAGAAATGATGATATGACACACAATCTGACCTCACATCCAAACCCTAGGAGGAGATTCAAGACTGTAAACCCTAGGAAAAGAATCAGCGGAATGAAGATTTTGAGAGAAAGAGAGAAAACTTCGACATCGAAATTGAGATTGTAGACAGTAGTGCTTACCTTAGTAGACGATGCAGATGGTGGTGGTGGAGCTTCGAAATCGAGAGCGAGAGAGAGAGAGAGAGAGAGAGAGAGAGAGAGAGAGAGAAAACTTCGAAATCAAAATCACCGAGCTGAAGAAGGTTGAATTGTATCTTCCAAATTGATATTGAAATCGATTTTTCTCTATGAAATCTATTTTGCTCTTTGAAATTGAAATCACTCTGAGATTGGATCACCGAACTTTGATATCGAAATCACTTTAAGGGTTTAGAGAGAGCGAGCGAGCGAGATTCATACACTGGTGTTTCTCAAATTTGAGTGAGTCAAAGTGAGAAGAAGGGTTTCTCAGATTAGAATGAGGGTTTGAAGAGGGAGAGAGAGCACGTGAGAGTGGGATACATTCGAAGGCGTTTCCAAACGGGTTAAACAGTACCGTTTTATTAAATTAAAATGTGGGATACATTCGAAGGCATTTTTAAACAGGTTAAACGGTACCGTTTTATTAAATTAAATTGCAACGTTTATAAAACATCGTTAAATATTAGAAAATGTGGCGTTTAAAAAAACGCCGTTAAAAAAGCGTCATTAAATCACACATTTCCTGTAGTGTTTTTTGCAGCATCTTCATCAGATTTAGGATTGTTAGATTAGATACATATTTTTCTACATAGTCGTCTTGGATATGGTTGACCCTTCTTTGCTAGGACCTGAGTGGATTGTTTTGTTAGGCAATTCTGGTTTTATTTTGCTTGATTAGATGTTGTTTATGCCTCCAATGGGCTACTTTTCGTTGCTACTAATTTTGTTGTGCTTCGTTTTATTTCTTCCACCATTGTTCTGTCTTCTATTATATCTTTGCTGTGTAATTATGCATTTTTTTTCACCTTGACCTTTGATCTATTATTGCTTCATTGTAATTTCTCCCCATCTATAAAATCTCTCTTTTTCTCTGATAAAAAAAAAAAGAAAAAAAAATTAAGCGTTTATGGCAAGACTACATTAGCATCATATCTCTTGACCTGGTACATTTGTCTTGATTTCTATATGCATCTATGGCAACACTGGCAAGACTATGATTGCATCGGCCTACCATTAATATATTTCTGTTTATCAACTATACTATTTTGTGCTTCTTAGATATGTGAAGATGAGTGTGATTACCAATTCTTCAGTGTAACAGCTTTAGTGGCAAATTTTCTGAGGCAGAACATGAAAGTCGAATTTACTTTTGATTGCCTTTATTCACAGATGTATGTAACATGCTTGTAGTCCTTTTGCAGCTTTATTTTTGTTAATTAGCTTTCTTTGTTTTGATACTTCGTAAGGTTTGATTCATTGTTTGTTACTTGCCGTTTTTTTTTTTTTTTTTGGTTTCAAAAGTTGTAATTATGTTGAAAAAATAAGTGAAAAACCAGTTTGGGGCTTCTAAGGAGCTGCTATAATAACAAATATACCGACATTGAGACAATTGGATCAAGAAGCTAATCCATGAAAAATCTGGAAAGGCTTGCTTGGATCAAGAAGATAATCCATGAAAAATCTAGTGATTTGGTGCCAACATAGTTGGGATGGTCTTGCTTGCTTTGATGCTTTTTGCGCCCGCTCTTGATTTTCATTACTAAATTTTTTTTGTTCTTTTGCTGATCGAAAATGAAAAATCTAGAAAGGCTGTGATGTTAGTTAATCTAAGATATTGAATGGAAAGCAAGAAAAACATCTGTTCGTGTACCAAATCAAAACAGAATAACAAAAGTACAAATAAATGAAGAAGACTAGACAGAAATCATCTCCTATTTTCTGCTTTCTTCTTCTGTTCTTCTATTTCCTTGGACTACTCTATAATGAGTTAAAGCTCGCTGTTGCATCCTGGAGAATGATCACCAAGAGCCATCTACATTCTGCACCCAATGGAGGCTTAATCAATCTTAAGGACAAGAGTTTAATTTTGGCGTTGCAATCTTTTCATCATCTTGAATAAGCTTCTTTTCTTCATTTTTTTCTTACTAGGTTCTGTTTTTTTCTTTTTTCTTTTTTAAATCTTAATCAATCATTGTTTTTATAATTATTTCATAAGGAGGACCAAATACTTTGAACCACCTAGAAAACTTGCATAACACTGCTTGATATTAAAGAAATTTAATCTAAAATGAAGCCTTTATTATATATATATAATAATAAAAAAAAATTGTTTTTTTATAGAGGACAGTTCACTTTAAAGGACCACTGGACATATAATGATCAAAGAATCATAATACAAACAAAACATATTAAGATCAAAGAATGACTATAGATGAATTATATTATATTAGGTTCATAATACACATAGATATCACACAAACTCTAAACCAAGATAGCACAACATGATCTACAAAACGGACATCGACGAGCCTTTAGCAGCCACTTGAACAAGCAGTCTCTGTGGAACATATGAGAGCAAGGTGTTATCGCAACCATCATCCCTCCACAAATCCCCTCTAAACAAATCGAACACGCGTCTACCTCTTTATCATCACCTTCCAACTCCTTCACCTTCATTGCAGCCTCAACCTGGTGAAGCCCTTGACGCTTCTGGTTCGATATTGGTTTCACCCACAAAAGCATCGGTTCCTTCAGAAGCAACCTTAACATACCCCGAATCTCTTGAACCTCATCAACAGAAAACTTTCATCAAGCGTTTTCACTGTTTACATCCACGACTTTCTGTATTTTAACTTGTTTCCGTGAAAGCCTTTTTCGCATATAGCTCGTGGTCCTCGAAATATAAACATCTACCACTATAACGATTGTGGGTTTCTGATGAGATGTTTTAATGTCGAACTTGAAGCAACTGTGCAAGTATATAGATACATATTTAATCAAATTCAAAGTTGTTTCTTCGGAAAAGTATTTTATGCCTTGGATGGCTTGAGAAACCAACTGTTCTGTGGAGTTCAGAGTTGATAGTTTCATGAGATCGAATATTGACACTTCAAACTTCTTAAAGATTTCTTTAACAAAACCACCTTGTTTGATCTGAATTGCTTTCTTAGAATTGAGACGATGGTGCAACTGCTATTTCCAGTGACAATGCTGAAGTAGAAAGGTAGAAGCGTAGTGACATATGCCAGTTTTGGATTTCTGGTTTTGGCAGCAGAGGAGAGAGAGAGAGAGAGAGAGAGAGAGAGAGTTTGTGTTAGGGTTTGGTTTGGGTATACTTGGGTATACAATAAATATGTATACATGGATAGTTTAGTCTCTGATACCATTTATGTTAGCTTTTGATCAAACGCTCTTTAGAATGAACTATATTTTGTATTGAGTTTTTCTCACTTATTTATTCATATATTTTGCCCAAAGGCTTACATCCTTTTATATAGAGAAGGTTATACATAGATTCAATGAATAAGATTCATGAACCTAAACAACCTTACAATTAACTAGGTATATGAATATAATCTAGACAACGTACTTAATAAATATAAAATACATTAATATAAAAATACATGAATACAAAGAATGTACATTGTCTAGATTATATTCATGTACCTAGTTAATTGTAAGGTTGTTTAGGTTCACGGATCTTATTCATTGTACTTATGTATAACCTTTTCTATATAAAAGGATGTAAGCCTTTGGGCAAAATATATGAATCAATAAGTGAGAAAAATTCAATACAAAATATAGTTCATTCTAAAGAGAGTTTTATCAAAAGCTAACATAAGTGGTATCAGAGCTTTGGTTTGGTCAAGAGCAAGCCGGGTGTAGAGATCGGATACGGGATAACAAGCCCCGAAGAAGAACAAATCGACGTCCATGGCGAATCCCAACAACCAAAATGTATCCACTTCTATCTTTAATGGTGAAAATTTTGATTTTTGGTATGTAAAAATGAGAACTATTTTTGTCTATACGGAGCTTTGGGATCTTGTTGAGAATGGGTTCGAGGAACCTGAAGATGAAGGAGCTTTGACAAATCCCCAAAAGAACCAATTAAAAGAGCAAAGGAAGAAGGATTCAAAGGCTCTCTCTTTTATTCAACAAGGAGTTTCAGAAGCAATCTTTCCAAGAATTATCAATGCGACAAAAGCGAAGGAGGCATGAGATATTCTTCAGAAAGAGTATAGAGGCAACTTGAAGGTAAGAACCATCAAACTTCAATCATTGAAAAGAGATTTTGAAAATTTAAAGATGAAGGATATGGAATTTTTGAAGGATTATTTTTCTAGGGTTATGGAACTTGTAACCCAAATGAAAATTTATGGGGATAATATTACTAATCAAAGAGTTGTTGAGAAAATTTTGATAAGTTTACTGGAGAAATACAATCCTATTGTTGTTATTATTGAAGAAACTAAAGATCTTGCTGATTTGAGTATTGAAGATTTGATGTGTTCAATTAAAACATTTGAGCAAAGGTTGAGTAGGCAATCTGAAAAGTCAATTGAAAGTGTATTTCAATCCAAACTTAATGTTAGTACCTCTAATTCCCAAGGAAGAGGAAGAGGAGGAGGAAGAAATGTAACCGGAAGAGCAAGAAATGCAAGAGGAAGAGGAAGGTCTAATTTTCAAAGAAAGGAAAATGAAGAGTCCACTCAACAAAAGTGTGGAATTTGCAACCGAAGCAATCATGTTGATAAAGATTGTTGGTTTCGAAGAAAGCCAAAATGTTACAATTGCAACATATTTGGGCATGTCAAGAAGGATTGCCACGCCAAGAGCACTCAACAAGCTAATTTTTCCAAGGAGCAAGAAAGTGAAGAGCACATGTTCTATGCTTGTCACAAGGATGTATGGTTTCTCGATAACGGATGTAGCAATCACATGATAGGAGATGAAAGCAATTTTTGTGAAAATGGATGCTTCCTCCAGTTTTCAAGTAAAAATGGGGAATGGTGCCTTAGTCCAAACAAAAGGAAAAGGTACTATTGCTATAGAAACCAAGATGGGTACAAGATTCATTTCCGATGTTCTCTTAGTTCCAGACTTGGAGCAAAATTTGCTAAGTGTTGGACAACTTATGGGGCATGGATATCTTGTTCACTTCGAAGATGATTTTTGCAAAAATTTTGACAAAGGAGGGAAAAGCCAAGTTGTAGCAAAAATCAATATGGAGAAGAATAGAAGTTTTCCTCTCATTTTTCGATATAGCAAAAATGCGGCTTTGAAGATAGATGTGATTGATAATTCATGGCTTTGGCATAGAAGATTTGGGCACTTGAATTTTCAAAACTTGAAGCATCTACAATAAAACAATATGGTTTTTGGGTTGCTAACCATTCATGAAATGCAACATATTTGTGAAGGTTGTGCACTTGGAAAGCATCACCGGGAGTCATTTCCAAAGGAGAAAGCATGGAGAGCTAAAGCACCATTGGAGCTTGTCCATATCGATGTGTGCGGACCCATGGACACACCAACTCATGGAGGTAACAAGTAGTTCATTATCTTTGTTGATGATTTTACTAGAATGACTTGGTTGTATTTCATGAGACAAAAGAGTGAAGTTTTCTCTATCTTCAAGAAATTTTGAAATCTTGTTGAAAGACAAAGTGGTTGTTTGATTAAAGTATTAAGAAGTGATAGAGGCGGAGAATACAACTCAAATGAGTTTATGAAATTTTGTAAAGATATTGGAATGGAAAGGCAGTCAACTGTTGGGTACACTCCACAACAAAATGGTGTGGCGGAAAGAAAGAATAGAACCATAGAGGAGATGTCCAAGTCTATGCTACATGAGAAGGGGCTACCCAAAACCTTTTGGGGTGAGGTCGTGTATACAGCAGTTTACTTGATGAATAGATGTCCTACAAAAGCTCTTAAGGACAAAACTTCTTAAGGACAAAACTCCATTTGAAGCTTGGAGTGGAAGAAAACCATCGGTGAATCATTTGAAGGTGTTTGGTTGCATTTGTTATGCTCATGTTCCAAAAGAAGTGAGGCACAAGCTTGATGAAAATAGTAAGAAATGCATCTTTGTGGGTTACAGCTCGAAATCCAAAGGCTATAGACTCTTCAGTTTGGATCAAAAGAAGGTGATTATTTGTAGAGATGTTCTCTTTGATAAGAAGGCATCTTTTCATTGGAAGGAAAAGAAAGTCCAAGATCAAAGCATTGCTTTCAATGAAGAATCGGAAAGTCCACAAGTTGAAGATGTTGCAGCTCTTGAATCTCCACAAAGAGGGTCACTAATTGCTAGTTCACAATCTTCTCCAAGTTCAAGTTCAAGTTCTTCATCTCTAAGTTTAACTCCAAGAAATATAAGGAGTCTTAGTGATGCGTATGCAAGATGCAATTTATGCATTGTTGAACTTGAAAATTTTGAAGAGGCAATTAGAGATGAAGCATGGAAGAAAGCTATGTAAGATGAAATTCATGTGATTGGGAAGCACAAGACTTGGGAGCTAGTGGAGAAACCGAAAGAAAAAGAAATAATTGGTGTGAAGTGGGTTTTCAAAAGAAAGTTTAATCCAGATGGCTCTATTCAAAAGAACAAAGCAAGACTTGTGGCAAAAGGGTATTCACAACAACCTGGAATTGATTTCCAAGAAAATTTTGCTCCTGTGGCTCTACTTGATACAATTACAGCTATCATTGCTTTGGCAGCCCAAAAGGGTTGGTTCTTGCACCAACTTGATGTAAAATCAGCATTTTTGAATGGAAAATTAGAAGAAGAGGTGTATGTTGATTAACCTCAAGGCTTTGTTGTCAAAGGCAAAGAAGGTAAAGTGTACAAGTTGAAGAAGGCTTTATATAGCCTAAAACAAGCACCCCGGGTATGGTATAGTGAAATTGATGCTTACTTCAATGAAAAGGGTTTTCAAAGAAGCAAAAGTGAGCCAACTTTGTACATCAAGAGGCAAGGTATAACCGGTATTCTCATTGTTTCACTTTATGTTGATGATTTGGTTTTTACTGGTAGTGATGAAAAATTGATTGAAGATTTTAAAAGGGAGATGATGAAGAAATATGAAATGAGTGATTTGGGACTATTGGATCATTTTTTAGGCATTGAAATTTACCAAAGCAATGGTGGTGTTTTTATTTTCCAAAAGAAGTATGCTCAAACACTTCTTGAGAAATTCCAAATGAAGAATTGCAAATCAGTTGCTACTCCCTTGATTGTGAATGAAAAGTTGTCAAAGGAAGATGGAAGCAAAGAAGCTGAAGCATCTTGTTATAGAAGTTTGGTTGGAAGTTTGTTATACTTAACTGCTACAAGACCGGACATCATGTATGCTACAAGTTTATTGTCTCGGTTCATGCACAGTCCAAGCCAAATTCATTTTGGGGTCGCAAAAAGAGTGTTGAGATACATTCAAGGTACACTTGATTATGGAATTTTTTATGAGAAATTTCTTGATGCAAAGTTAATTGGATTTTGTGATAGTGATTGGGCCAGATGTATTGATGATATGAGAAGCACTTTTGGGTATGCATTTTCTCTTGGATCAAGCGTAATTTCATGGTCATCCAAGAAACAACAAACTGTGGCACAATCATCTGTTGAAGCTGAATATATTTTAGCATCATTGGCAACTACACAATCAATTTGACTAAGAAGAATTTTGGATGATTTTGGTGAGAAACAAGGTGAAGCTACTCCAATTATGTGTGATAATAAGTGTAACGCCCTCAAAATACCCATTATATATATATCATTGACATGCATTATTTAAAGAAAACACTTTAATAATTCATTATAATATCCATCAGAGTCTTACTAAACAAAAGCATTACATGTAACATCAAAGTAAATGCCCTACCGGCTTACATCTTTCCAAGCCAACACTTGGACACAAAGTATGAGTTCTAACTCAAATATAAATAAAGCCCTAGGCTTGAGTGTTTACATGTACTAACAACGAAAAACAAATAACTAAAAACAGTCTTCAAAATCCAAGTCCTTCCAAGCTAAGTCCTTGGAGGTAGCTTATCACCTGAACCTGAAAATGATGTTCCCATAAAGGGTGAGCCACAGCCCAGCAGAAATATACTAAACCACAAATAAGTAATGAATAAAGCAATAGCATTCAACAAATGGTTAACCAAGATAATCAATTACATCATTATACCGTTTCATGACATTAATGTCTAAGTCACGTTTCACTTTTCTTTATTATCAACATGGCTCAGAACCTGGCCAAACTTACAACAGTGAATCACATATATAATATTCACATCCTTCCAATATCAACAAACAAATGAGACTCAAGCTCAAATCAAAACACTTCATACTTCCAGATTGATACACATTTTAGTGCTGTATCAATAAAACACTTCTATATAAATAAGCACACATAAAAGTGATGCTAATGGAGTCCATCCCCTATCTCCTCCCAAACAAAATCCGGTTTAGAGGTCCATCCCCTAACTTCCCCTAAACCGTGGAGTACATCCCCCATCTCCTCCCACACACAAAACAATGTATGCAAATGCAATGCTCAATCAATACACGTATTTTCTGTATCAATGCAATAATCAAAATTAATGACTTAACCAATGTGATTAGTTTCAGTTATTCCTAACATTTCATTAGAGAAGCTGTGGAAGATGATGAGATTCAAATCAAGTATTGCAAGACTGAAGATCAAGTTGCGGACATCTTCACCAAAGCTCTACCAAGGGACAAATTTGAATTTTTTAGAGAAATGTTGGGTGTCACACAATATGGCATTAAGGGGGAGTGTTAAAATTAATGCCATATTTACATTAGATACATTGGATACATTGCATTCATTGGATGCATTGAGTTCATACATTATTTGTATTCACATATTTTTATATTAATGTATTTTATATTTATTAAGTACATTGTCTAGATTATATTCATGTACCTAGTTAATTGTAAGGTTGTTTAGGTTCATGGATCTTATTCATTGAACTTATGTATAACCTTCTCTATATAAAATGATGTAAGCCTTTGGGCAAAATATATGAATCAATAAGTGAGAAAAATTCAATACAAAATATAGTTCATTTTAAAGAGAGTTTTATCAAAAGCTAACAGTTTTGTCTAAAGGCTATTTTGGAAAGTGGATTAAAAGTCACTTCCCTGTTTTTAACCCACTTCGCTCTTTCACAAAAAAGTTTAAAAAAAAGCCAAAAAATAACTTTTAACCATCTTTCCAAAACACTCATAAGTTTACCCTTACGGGCAAAGTATTTTAGTGCCTCAACTTTTGGCTAAACAAAATTTAAATTTCGATTTATGAACCGAGCGTCCTTTTTTATATGATTTTATGAGAAGGTCATAAAAAAAAATCAAGTTATTCGGAAAATAATAACCACAAGATTCATTCTTATTTGCTTAAAAAAATAAGAGGTAAATATAATTTTGAGAATAAACCGTTACAAAGCACATTTTTGGGCCTACAACGAACTGTTGATATGGGACCTTTCTTACCTCTATATATATAAAAAAAAAATTAAAAATCACTACAAGAAAAAACACTTTTGGCGACCACCTATTTTTTTTTTGTCGCAAATAGTCCACTTTCTGCGACCCAAATTTAACTTTTGGCGACCATAATTTTTTGGTCATGGAAAATCACCTTTTGGCGATCAAAAACAAAGTTGGTAGCGAAAAGTATACCTATTGGCGACCAAAGGCTTTTTTGGTGGCGGAAGATCACCTTTTGGTGACAAAAAAAAAAAGTTGGTCACAGAAAGTATATCCTTTGGCGACCAAAAAAAAAAGCTGGTTGCAAAAAATATACTATTGGCGACCAAAGGCTTTTTTTGTCGCGAAAGATTACCCTTTGGCGACCAAAAAAAAAAAGTTGGTCGCGGAAAGTGTACTATTGCTGACCAAAGGCTTTTTTGGTCGCAGAAGATCACCTTTTGGCGACCAAAAAAAAAAGTTGGTCACGGAAAGTATACTATTGGCGACCAAAAAAAAAAAGGTGGTCGCGGAAAGTTATGGCGGGATAAATTTTTAAAAAAAATGATACTACTGTAATTACATGCTATTTTTCTGTTTAGGCATTAAAAGTTTTATAGAATAATATATAACCCAATTTTTATGGGTTATATATATTTTTTGCCAAATATGAAGAAGAAGCATGTTATTGGCAGAGTGGATTGGGTGCATGGTGACTCCTTGGTCAGGAGTTCAAGTCCCAGGCAGCACAAAAGAATTATTTTTTTTGGGTCAAGGCGCTGACTTTTGGCGACCAACTTATCTTTGGTCGCTAAAAGTTTGCTTTTGGCTAATATGAATTGGACTTTCCGGGACCAAAAAAGTTGGTC